GGGGGGGGGGGTGGGAGAGACAGAGACAGAAAGATTGGTCAATATGAACTGTGAATCATATCAATCAGCTATTGTACTGGGTTCGTATTGGGTCAACTTTCTTTCAGTGGTTGGCTCAGATGCATAATTGTTTTGTTTTAGTCTAAATGGTTCACACTTGGATCACATGATCGTCCTTTTGTCCGCTTCACAGTCGGTTGGGTTTGGTCTTGCTGGCTTTGGTGGGGCATCTACATCCGGTCAAATAAATGAATCACATTATCTTCTATCAGTTGTCTCACATTCGTCATACTCTCCTCCCTGGTCCATTAGATCTCATCGGGATCAACATTGACATATTTTAAATGTACAATATTACATTTTATAAATCTCATCATAAATCCCGCAAAATAAGATTAAAAATTGCATGGTAACTTTAATTGGTGTAATTATAAGAAGAATCATAAAACATTGAATTATAATAATCAAGATAAAACATTAAATTTTACATAATAATAATAAAGCAATATATTTTTTTATATTATAGCTCTCATAATTTAATATTAATTTTAACTCCCATAAATATATTTATTTTACGCAATACTTAAAAGAAATTAAATACTTGATGAATTTACTGCTTAATGTAATCCATTTATTGAATTTTACACGCGATAGAACTTCACCTTTCTAAGTTAAAAAAGTAAAACGAGCTCCCGGCGAGGATCGAACTCGCGACCTTTCGCTTACGAAGCGAACGCACTACCACTATGCTACGGAAGCTTTTGTCGTAGACGTTTTTAATATTATTAATATAAAGTTTTTGTTGTTGTTTAGGCCTCAAATATATGTATCACAATATTAATTATGGGTAAATTACATTTTTATACGGCAATTTATAATATTTTTCATGTAAGAATGACTAAAGATGTGAGCACTTATATTTAATTTGCAATACTTATAATTATTAACTTTAGAAAATAATGAGAAATTGATGCATTTCATGACTGAACTAAAATAATCAATGGACGTGATGAAAAGTTTAGTATTTTATTTTTGATAGGATCGACAATTAAATGAGTAAATGAACTTCAGTTTAAGCATATTTCTCAATATGAGAAATCCAACGAGCCTAAGCTTGCTTGATTTTGAGAACATTAAGGTCTCAAATCATTTAAATACCTCTATGATTAATGCGGGTCAATATAAGTCATCTAATCGGGTGGTTGAAAAAGTTATTTGCCAAAAGTCAAAAATATCCCCCTCCCCAAAACTATAGATAAATCATTCTCTTCCCTTTATGTAGGGGAGGATGAGGTAATAGATTTCTTAAAATGTTACGAACTAAAGATTCGACGATACCTACTGGTGGTCTCCGTAACCGTCAAACCCTAACGTGCGCCCTTGCTCACCGTTGTCAATGACGATTGTTTCTTGACGTCATATCCCAAATATGATGCTGTAATGCAAAACATCATATTAAAAACCTGATGATAACTTTCGATCTTCATAGCCACTGACAATGTTGACCACCGTCAATCAGCCACCATTAGCCACCACCGACCTCATGCTGCTGGTGACATGTTTAAAAAAATTGCATTATAAATATGACTATAACATATAACACCTATATTGAAGATCCAACGTTAACCTTTTGCCTCATAGTTATTAACCACCGTCGACCACGCCGATTATTGTCACGTGCTGCCACTGGACACTACCCACCTACCTGCTTATGAACGTTGTAGCCAAAACAAAGTGGTGATCTTAGCACATGCATCTTTCTTTATGTTTTATAATGACAAATGCAGTGTCTAGTGTGAAACTGTAACCCTATTTTCAAGAAAGGGTCAAACCACAAACTACAATCTTTACGACAGATGTGATTTGAAATTTATTTAAATTTTGTTCGAATCATGCTTGAATAATTTTCATATATTGTTTGAAAGAATTATACAAACTTAAATATAATTTAAAAATTTTATTAATTATAACTTTAATCTTATTCTACTATTTTAAAGCAATATTTATATGGATACCAAACAATTCTTATATAATTAAATCTATCGATTAAAGAAGTTTACTTTATCTTTTAAAAGTTATAGTAATTTTATTTTGGATGTGATGTTAAATTTTTGAATGCAATATATATAAAAATGAAAGTTAGCTATTATATATATAAATATATTAAAATTAAGCGGTATCCTTGTAAATGCCCCAATTTCAAAAATATTATTTTTGAGCATCATTCTAAATCACCTTAAATTCAACATGAATTTATATATGAACAATCTAATTCATATGAATTAACATATTGAGCCCCTTAAACTTCGAGCACTATTTGTGTATGTCATATGCACGCAGAATTGTGTGCGTATGATAACATTCTAAGAGCTCAGTTATTGGGAAAAAAATTACGTGTGATAGACGTACGCAGCGCTGTGTACGATATTGGGGTTATATCGAGGGGGGTTATATATTGAGGTTATATCGAGGGTACAAGGGGGTTACATCCGCGGTATAACCCCTTGTAACCTCCCTGTAATCTTCTGTAACTTACTTGTAACATATTGATAAATTTTTAATATATGATAACAAAAACGCGAAACTTATTTTAGGTTACAAGAATGTCACAAGGGATTATACCGCAGATGTAAACCCCTTGTACCCTCGGTATAACTCTAATATCGTACGCAGCGCTGCGTACGTCTATCACATGTAAATTTTTTCCCAGTTATTGGGGGTTATTGAGAGGTTGTTAGGAGCATTAATCCCAATAACACCTCAATAACCTAAAAAAAACCTATCAATATCTTATGCGGTTCGGCAATCATTTTTTTAATGTCATTTGAAGGTTTTTTGAAATTATTGGGGGTATTAACTCCAATAATAACGACATAATCTTCAAAAAATTCTAGAATAACCTTCATACAGACACAATTCTAAATGCTTACGATGTAAGTATAGATTTTTCCTAAATTTCAGTTCTTACAAACAGACTATTCGATTCTTATATTTCAAATATAGATTGCATTAAAAAAAGAAAAAAAAAAAAAACTTTCGCTCTTCTACAGTTTGGGAATTTAGCCGGGCAGCGGGAATCCAGCACATCGCCGGCGGGAGTTCAGGGAGCGATTTTACCGGCGCTCCACAAGACATTTCGCTCAGCAAAAGCGATTGGCCATTTGCTATTCAGCGCCGTCGGATGAGAAGATGGACGGAACCCTCGGCGATGTTCGGAGCCACCTTTCTCCTTCCACCATTTTACTGATCGTCCTTGCTCTCCAACTCCTTGATGTGCTATTCGAGAAGCTTAAGAAGGTAATCCATTCCCGTCAACACGCATCTACTCCGCATAACCTAGTATTGATACCGTGATCGGACCCGATATACATTCTTCACCCCGTTAGGTTTAAATCGAGACAGCATGTTTTCAAATTTTCTTTGGTGTATTCGATGGATCTGTAGGTTTTGCAACGCGTGTTCGTTTTGTTCTCATTGGAAGGCATTTATGTCATGAAGATTTAGGGCGCATTTGTTAATTTTTTGCTGCGGAAGATGGGTTCAACATGCTTTGACAGAACCGGTTGACACCAGACGAAAGATCCAATTCTGTAATGGTTTAATATCGAGGATATCCTAATCGGAATACATGAGTGGGTATAGCATCAGAGGTGATTTTCATGGCAGTTGGATTGGAAGCGGTTTGCAGTCTTTCATTCCAGCTCGGTGAAGAATGTTCAGGGCATAATTCGGTTGGATTAAAAACAAGACATAAGCGGTTTGAATGGTGTGAATGCCTGGGAAAATTAGATAGGTTTCACAGTGTCTGCGTGTTGAAGCGTTGGTGTTGCGTAGGAGTTTAGAAATAGCTTTGCCCTAGTTAGTTGTAGCCAAAATGTCATCAACATAAATAAGAAAGCACATAAATGTGTTTTGATGCTTGTAGATAAGTAGCAAGAGATCAGCTTGACTAGATGGTTTGAGATAGTCAAGGTGATTGTTTCAATACATAAATCTTCTCTTGCAATGAGCAAAAATAGTCAAGATTTTGTCGATTTGTAAATCCTAACGGTTGGTACATATAAATAATTTCTTGATGATGATCATATTAAAGGGCATTGAAGATGTTAACTTGTGTGATTTATGCAAACTATAGCTATTTTTTCAACTAAACTAAACAACAAATGAGACCATTGAAATGAAGTTGAACTCTTAAATATTGTATTTTGGCGTAACGGTGGGATTTCATCTGAAACTCTAAAATTAAGTCTGTTTGGACGAGAGTAGAATTAGGATGGGTGACCTCATGAGAAGTCACACCAACAAGGCAAATCGTGAGGATATTAGGCTAAAGTGAATAATTACTTGATTGATGAGTGTTCAACTTATTACAAATAGTAAAGTGTTACACTGGCCTGAAGATGAGAAATAAATATCATATAGAACAAAGTGCCAAGCCATGGGAGTTCTTCAACCATAGATTGAACAAAGTGCTATATGATGACAACTACATTTTAAATCTATCAAGGCCGCATATATAATCTCATTTTTTTGGATGATTATGGGTTAAGAGCATTGACGGGGACATTAATTATTTAAGCAAGAGATATTGAGAAACACTTGAGGATAAAATTGAATTCTTAAACAAAGAGATGTTTTTTTGGTGTAACAGTTATAATTTCATAAAAAGATCCTAAGTTAAGCATGCTTTAATGAGATTAGTATTAGAGCGGTTAACCTCATGTGAAGTTAAACAAATTGGACAAAAGCATGAGGCCATTAGGCCATAGCTTCATGGTAAGAGTCTGGGCTATTACAAATTATATCAAAACTCCGTAATTAAGTGTGCTCTCACAGGAGCACAGTTGGGAATGATGACCTCTTGAGAAGTTACATTATTGAACAAAACCGCTAAGACATTAGGTTTAAGCGGACAACATATGGATGGGTAAGAGTTCGAGTAGTTACAACAAGGTCTAAATTCATCAGACATTACAACTCAACAATTTTCCTTTGGCAGCAATACTATAATAGATGGGATGTGTAGCAGGGGAAAGGGCATATTGAAGATCTAGCATAACTTTTGGTTTAAGCTAGCCATATTTGGACCAAGTTTGCATCAAATGAGTGGTAATATTTGGGAGCTGATGTTGACATGAATTTGTTGTTGGCAAAAGAGCTTGGTTTTAGATGGTAAATTAATTTGATTATTAGTATATTGTATTGGTTGGATTTGAAGGGGTGATTGATGGGAAGTAGAGAGTGTAGAAGTGGTGAAATTGTAAGAGGAGCAGATTGATGGGAAGTTAAGGGTATTGAACTGGTGGAACTAAGTTGTGAAATTGTAAGAGGTGCAGGAGATATGATGGTGGCAACAAAAGCCGATTGGTGAATTTGTGGTGAAGTAATGGTTGAGGGTGAGACTGACACAAGTGGAGAATAGGTAGAGTGTGAAGATTGATATGTGGATGATGAAGATATTTTTGGATAAGGAAATGTGTGTCATTAAGGATAACATCCCTTGATATTATAATTTTATCATTTTTTGGATTTAATCACCCATAATCGTTAAAATGAGAAGAATATCTGATAAACACACATGTGGCCGAGCGAGAAGCAAATTTATCTAATTCATATGAGTAGCAAAGACAACTAAAAGTTTGAAGCAAAATGCAGTTTGGTTGTTTCTTGTGAAGCAGGTGATATGGAGAGGTATTGGTGGTGTTTGGAGAAGACAAACAATTAATGAGATGATATGATGTGAGAAGTGTGTGCCTATTTAAACCCAAAATTTAGATAGTTTTGCACCAATGACTGGAGCATGCATTACTACTTAAATATGTAGATCTTATGTTCAACAGTGCCATTTTCCGTGATGGTGTATGGGAAGAAACATTGATGACGAATGACAAATTGTTTTAGTAAATTTCTAAACAAATTATTGCAATATTCTCCCCCATCATTGGTGTGCAAGACTCTAATTTGGGTTGTAATTTTTTTTTTAAATAAGAGCTTTGAATTTAATAAACATGACATAACTTTCGATTTATATTGTATAAGAAACACTCTACAATATGAAGACTAATCATCAATAAATGATATATAATATTTAAGTCCTTCTTGAAAATCACAAGAAGTGGACCTTGTACGTCCGTCTTGCTAACTTGTAATGTAATATACTACAAGTTTGAGATAGACTAAAGGGTAAAATATGAATTTTAGCCACTTATTACAAAAAAAGGTGATGAAGGTGTTTGCTTGAGAGGTGGATTTAAAGAACAAAAATTGAGCATTATTGCAGTTGATAGATGACCCAATCAATGGTGCTAGTTTGTGGTAACAAGGGTTTTGGTGGAAGCTTGGGTAATGACCAAATCAAATATAAATCTTTATGGCTAGGTCTTTGAAGGAGGCTTTGTTTGGTCTTCACATTCTTTATGTGAAAGCTAGAATTATCAAGTAAAATTGAATAATTTTTATCATGAGCTTGTTTGTGAATGAAATTCAAATTGTGGGAATGATTTGGAATATGATGAAGAGAGTATAATTGGAGCTTACAACTTGGTGTAGGTAATTTTTTTTTTTCAATATTGACAAGTGACACACATTGGCCATTGTCGAGCATGACTTAATCAACGTCATTACATGGTTAGAGATTAGATATGACTTTTGTCTGAGGTTAATTGAGATGTGCCATCAGAATCAAGCAACTAGTCAAGATTTTGTTGAGTGCCCGGTTATAACGTGTGTTCCCATTGAAATGTATTGAAGCCAGCATGGTTTGTAGATAATAATTAGCATTCAAGGCTATCCAAATTTTGGTACTTGAATCCAAATTAAAAACATATGGAAATGGGTGGTGAGATGTTAGAACGAAGAGCTGATGCTAGATTTTGGTCAATTAAAATCCAAAGATTCTATTGCCACAATTTGCCAGCTAGTAAAAATGTTACCATATTCTACGGGAAGAATAGCGGCTAGAGATGAAATATAACCATCTAAACAGCATTAAAAACCATTTGGTTGGAATTACTTGATGAGCTGAGATTTCCAATTAGGAAAACTATCTGATGTTAAAATTTTTATTTATAAACATTGAACATTTCCACTTTATGTTGATTTTAGTATGTGGATTTGTGTTTGAAGCATTTGTGTCATATTAGGTTTAGCATTATTTTTTTTGTTAAATTTATTCCTATTACTTCGTTATGTTATTTGGACATTGTTCAGTACTTGTATATCAGCAAGCCATATGACGCGGGTGCTAGAGTTTTCTTTAAGTTTCTATGTCTGAATTTATGTGTTTTAGTTAGTTTTTGTCTTTATAGTTTATGATGACATACTTGTAACTAGAAGAGTCTAGTACTTATAAATAGTTTTTGTTTGTGTAGAGTGAGTTATAGTTTTTAGAGAGTTTTCCTGAAGGGTGATTTGACTTCCATTCCTCTTGCAGCTGTTTTCACAGGCAAAACTTCAATAAGGAAACATCTTTAAGCTAAAGGAAATTACCATAATGGGAGAAAAAATAAAGAATAAAATAAAAAGGCACAGATTGTTGTTGTAGTTCTCTAATATAAGTTGTTTTCAAGACCTCTTGCCCTATCGCTCTACTATAACTTTTTGGTTAATGTGTTGTTGCTCTTAATCAGTTCATGTTGTCAAGCCATTGTATTTTATTTTTATTATTTTGACAAATACTTGATGATTTTTTTATTTCAACTTGCTTTCATTACAAACCATGCAAATTTTTAAGATCAATCTTTCATTGAAATACCTACGCTAAATTGGAGCTCATTAAACTCCTTGCGATGCTTGACTTTCCAGAGAGGATCTACTAGCAGTGAAGAAATCAAACTGCGACAAGAGATAAATCAACTTCTCAAAGAAGCTAACTCTTTATCGACGTAAGTGATTGTTGTCGTCATTTTTTTATTCATTTTATGCTATCATTGCTTTTAGTATTCTCCTAATGGTTAGCACTGTCAGCATGCATCCTCCGATGACAAATATATATATACTGGGATTTTATGGCGTATTATTATGATAGCCCAAACATGCATCCATAAAAGTAAGAAATTGAGTTTATGTGTGATTTTGTATTGCAGGCCTTCTACTTTTGCCCAGGCTGCAAAACTTAGGCGTGTGGCTATTGCAAAGGAGAAAGAACTAAAAAAAAGTATGTTGGCTATTTTGGCATCTCCATAATAGTATTTTAGTTCATAAAAAATTCTTTTGGTAGCATTAACTGTTTTCAATTAATTCAAGTTATTATTTTTGAGCATCTCAAGAACATTCTGGTTGTTACTTTTCAACTGTTATATTCTAAACATGTCAATGCTGCAATTAAAATAAAATGTGGGTTACCTCTGCACATTTAGTTGGTACTAACTGATTCCAGGAAAATGCGCTGAAGGTGGTGACATTTTGGGACATTTTTTTCCAAGGTTACTGCTATTTGCTTGCACTATCTTTAGCTAAACACATATTGACATTTAATTTAGTATTTTTTTGACTTCAGTTAAAGAAGCATTTTTTTGCTGATGCCAATGTTAGCTCAGATATAATAGTTTCTGCAAGTTTGTTTGTCATAGAAAAGAAGAGAGAGTTTTGGTTGTTTACCGCATAAATGGACCATTTATAAAACCGCATGTAAATTCCGTCAAATACGCGATGCCACTGAAAAACTAGTGCGAACTGCGATGACCACAAACTTTTTTGGGGCATTTACAAAAGTACCACCCAATTCTTATCTATTTAGGTATCTAACGCCTAGACTCTAGTTTTTACATTTATATTACCCAAATTTTAATATCACATAAAAAATACCACCAGTTTGACTTTTAAAAAGTGAAATACATCTTTTTGTGCATAGGTATGGTGGTATGTATATAAACTTTGAAGTTTATGTGCTAGAAATGTAAATATATCATAATTGAGTTGTACTTATTTTGTAAATAAAATTTTTCAATCGCTTTTTGCACTAGTTTATTTCTTTGTGCAAAGCTGATCCTTTTTGCATATTTTAACTTAGAAAAGAAAGCCCTTTTTATAGCTTTCTCGTAACTTCTTGTTTGTAATCAGTGTTGGTGAATTGAATATGCAGAGCGCGAGGAGAACAATAATGATAAGAAGTGGTCTTTATATGAAAAAGTTCTGCTTGCTTCAAAGGTTACTATTGATGAATTTAGATGTTTTCAATGGTTCCAGCACCTGAGATTCTGACCAAAGTTTGACTAATTAAAATGGACAGGCACTATTGTATACAGGACTTTGCTGGCAATTTTGGAGCACTCCTGTTGCTGCAGTTCCTCCGCATATTTTGCAACCCTTTGGTAACATATTCTTGTGGTTTTTTCTTTTTTTTTTCTATTAATTTAAGTACTTTGATTTTACAAGAAATAAAGTTTTTGGTACACAGGGAGCTCTTTCATTGTCTTTTGCTTTTGGTAGCAATATTAACAGTTTTGTCGTAAATATTTTGTTCTGGTTATTTGACAGAAATTCTTATTTTTTTGTCTAGTTCTAATAGCCAAACAGTTCAGCCAGCAAATATTTATTGCGAAATATCCTCCCTTTTGTAATGAAATAAGTTGCTCATTTTAGTATTTCTCAAAACGACCTCTTGGAAGTTTGATGCAGCAGTTAAATACCGTACATGTTAGTGGACGTTTCAAACTTGATAGGGTTTGTTCTCTGAGTCTGAGTTATCTTCTAAAGTTAACGGCGATAAAGGAAAATATCACAAATTTATGCTATTCAGTGCTTGCATTTTATGAATTTATAGATTTTCTTTGTGGGTGATAAAAGAAAAATATCACAAATTTATGCTCTTGAAGGCTTGCATTTTATGGATTTATAGATGTTTATATGTTTAAACTGTGATTTATCCTTTTATATACTTAATGAAATGTACAAATTGATTATGGAGAATTTTTATGTTGGGTGAGAGATGAGAATTGAATCACAGAAATAGATTCAAGAGATCATAGCCAAAACTTTGAACAAAAAATGCACAAAATAAGAACAATGCATAAAACCCGAGAATAGAAAAAAATCATGAAGCCACACCACATGAAAAAATCTACTATAAAAAAAATGAGGAGAATCATACAAATTACAACTCAAGCTTCAATACATCCTTAGACATGCAAGGGCGCTCACAATCAACTCCTTGCGCAACAAGAGAGTTCGAAAATCCCTCTTCTCCACTGGTAAAATCAAAACTTTAAATGAAAACAATCCAAAATCAGTTACTAGTTCAGGGGCGCCTCGATTGTGGCGCTGCATCCAAGCACTGCTCTTGGGTTCTGAACCTGTATTGGGTGCTACGACGCTGTCTTCGAGGCACCGCGGTTCTGGGGCACTGCTGACTCTGCATTGAGGCACTAGGCTCGGCATTGGGGCGCTACTGGCTCTGAGGGGCACTGCTGACTCTGCATTGAGGCACTAGGCTCTGCACTGGGGCGCTACTGGCTCTGCACTGGGGCGCCATGTACAAGAAATTTTTTTTTGGGGGGCAGGATCCCGACAAACTCACTGAAAAACTTCTCATAATTTTACACCTTTTAATCTATGAACACCAAAGCATTATAAATGTAAATATTAAACTTTAAGTGTTAGATATGTAAATACAAAAAAATTCGGTGGTATGTATGTAAATTTCCCTAACTTATAAATCAAGAATTTCTAATCTTGGATCATGAATTTGGCGCATCTAATCACATGATGGGATTTGTTTCTATATTCCTTGAAGTACGTTCTTATTGCAAAACCTTTATTCTAAGGACTGCCAATGGATCTCTGTCTCAAGTAGCAGTTATTAGGAAAATATATATCTTCAACTCCATGTTTATAAATTAGTTCTTTTAGTTCTTATATTTTTCTGCAATCTCTAATCCACCAGCACAATTATGATATTGTGTACTTCAGTTATTTGTTACGCTGCTACTCTCTCTCTTTTTTCTCATACTATTAACTATCCTTCTAATAGGGCATGAAAACAAACTTCTATTACTATATTGAATCTATGAGTACCACAGGTTGTAGTGCAGCCATCATAACCATTGTTCCAAGCACCACCTCTTAAATCTTGATCAGTCATTTCTGTATGCAAGAAGTAAAATTTAGGCGTTAGATATGTAATACATGAGAATTGGGTGCTATGTATGCAATTGCTCCAAAAAAATTATGGGATAATTGCATACATAGCACCCAAAACTCTATTATGCATTAGTAAGATGACATATATGTAAAAATTTGAATTTAAGGCATTAAATATGCAAATAGCTTGGAATTGAGAGGTATGTATGTAAATCTTCTGAAAGAAAAGTTAGAGCAGCCGAAGGTCTACCCACCACTAAATCTACAAAGTGCAGTTCATTCAAAGCATAAAAATCAGGCTTCACAACTAGACATTATACTTCCGCACGCAATGCATAAATTTTGCACTTTTCAATTGAATTTCTACTCGGAACATTACTCTGGCTCTTGTTCTGCACAGGACGGCTTCTTGCTTGGAGAGGCACGGATGCTTCCAATGGTTATTACATGGTGCGTGTGCTGCTCCTGGGAAACTCATTGTGTTGCTGAGCTCATGTGCGGATGACGATTCGGATGTGGCCATGCCATGTATCGTACGGCGGTCCATCTGGACCGTTCTCCGGACGTGCAGTATCGCCACACATAATTATTTATCGTGCTCCCGACTCTTAAAACCTAAAAATGTGAGTTTTTTTTTTACTTTGATCTGCTTTAAACTTCATTTTGTGATTCAATTACAGGTAGGAATAATACCTTGGCTGGTGCTTACTTCTCGGGTCAGCAAATTCTTGTTGCAGAAGCTTTTCAAGTTTATTTCCTTCTAGTATTTTCTCTCTCTCTCTCTTTTTCTTTGCCTCTCTCTCTCTCTCTAGAGTTATGTCCTTAAAATGAATCGCAATTTCTCAAACCTTTCTTTTATAAATCTGCATTTTTCTTTAATGACCTCCAATTGAAATCTGTGACAAAAGCTTAGTTGAGGTTTCTGCTGTTTGCAGAATGGTTTGTATGGTTGAAAACTTCAAGTGCTTTGAACTTTTTTGTTTTCTTTTTTGTTTTTGGAATTTTACATACATATAACGTAATTCTTATTTATTTACATATCTAGCACCAAATATTCAATTTTTACACTTATAACAACTTCTTATCATAAGTCTATGTGTGAAAATATGCATTTTTCTTTAAAAAAAAGGTAGTGATGGTCGTCTTGTTGATGTGGTGTTACATATTTGAGTAAATACATGTAAATATGAATGTTGGTGCTAGGTTAGATATGTAAATACACAAGAATTATGTGGTTTGAATGTTAATGCCGCCACGTTTTTTCTCCCATTTGCACAAGCAATCCAAATTATATGGTAGAAATAATGAATGTGCTGAATGATTAGTACGTATTACCGAGTATATTTAAATTCAGTAGTGTCAATCGCAAGACATTTTATGCATTTAGAAGATTCTCAAGAGGATATCTATGGATTATAATATCTTCAATGATATATTTTGATAATATATTACAAAGTTTTACTTGAGATTCCATATGAATGCAATGATCTTAATATATATATATATATTCCACCATAGAATTTCAAACAGGCTCCCAAATTATTCTTGATACGCCCAACAAATATTCATCGTTTGCCATGGGTTTCGAGATATCACATGGACCTTGAGGCGATTTTTTGAATAAAAAATATTTAAATCATAATAAAAAGTCATCTAAAACTTTGATTTCAGCAAACTTGCAATCAAATTGACTGACTCGATAAAAAGAACCCAATATTACTAAAATTAGTCTGATTTGAATCAATTCAAGTCTAGATCAAGCCATTAAACCGTTTTTAGAAGTTTTTTGAACATATTTAGGAGGTTAAATAAATGTCGATTCTGACGAGTCTATTGTCAAATTGAGCGTCTTGATAAGACAAATCCAACTAGCCTAAGATAATTCAACTTTAACATCATTAAGACACAAAAATGTTTATCAAATGTCATTCGATCAAGGAAAGCAATCTGAGCCGTTTGATTAAAGTGATTCATATTTTTGCATTAATTACATCCGAAACATTTAAAAAGTAGGGTTTCGTGTTTTTTGGGGGGGGGGGGGGGTTTGAGGCTTGAGAAAGAACTTGAAGTTTAGAGGACAAACCGAAGTGCAACACCACTCATGTTGCAATCAACTATTGCTAACCTTCACTGACTCTCATTGACCACCACCAACCTTTTTTTTTCAAAGACAACCTTAGCAAACATATCTTTACTTGAAGATTCGAGCATCATTGCGATCCATACCATATCGATGGTGCTTTGTTGATCTATGGAAGACTTCTGCAACATATAAACGCAAGAATTAACATTCACTAATGGAAGAACGAACAAGAAACACCACAAATTGTTGGAAGAAGTTTTAAGTAGAATAGGTAAAACTAAAGAACATATTTCTTTCTTTTTTTGTGGTCATTATAGAACTTTTCAGGCGATTCACTCTGCTCGAAATCAAAATAGATCAACATATATCAAATAACAATGTAATCAAGAAGAGGGAGGAAGTTTCTTAGGCACATAAATTAATCAATCGAAAGAAGAAGAAGCTAATAACATAAGGAACAACAAAAGGTCCAACTCGAGAGAAGAAAATTGAGAAGAGAAGAAGTCTTAGAAACCTCCACTCGAGAAAAAAAGAGTGAAGGGAACCATTAACTTTCTTTTGAAAGACGAGCCCTACACACAATCTCATCTTTGCTTGAAGATTTGAGCATCATTAGGATCGAGACCTTATCAACATCGAAGATTATTTGAGCTATAAGTTGTCTTTACAATGTCAACTGATTCCCAGAAGGTTGCTCATGTTAAATCAACTAGTGATCAAGCCAATAATAATTCTATCTTGTAAAATGAAAAAAAAAAGAAAGACTACTATTTTAAAATGTGACTTTTTAAACTTATTAAACTTATTATAATTATTGTGATATATATTCTTCATATTTTTCATTAAATTTAAATTAAATTTATAATTAATAAATGCATTCTAACACAAATTTGGCAATAAATTTTTTTTTCTATATTAATTTGTGAATCTAGATCATCAGGGCGACTGAAAAATTTCAATCAAATTAGATTATATTACTGTCATTTACGTACGAACAGCCAGAGCCGTTCATAAGACATTTCCCCAATCATCCACCGTTCGCTCTTGGTCCCCATCTCGTAACGAGAACGAACGCACCAGATCTTCCGACCATTGTTAATCATCCACTTTCCGCGGCACAATGCACCGCAACCCGCCTTATAGTACCCAACTTACCCCGATGCCATTTCCGTAAATAACATCAATCTCAAGTGCTAAGAAAAACACGAAAGTCTACACGTGGCGGGTATCCACCGTCAATCGACGCTCATCGCCACGTAGCGCCGCGTCTGCCCTTCATCCGCTTAATAAGAACAAGTGTTTAGGAAAACACTAAGAAATCTAGCAATAGAAAGGCAGCACACGGATCGATGACGTGGCATACAGCTTTCAAATCCCGCCCAAATTTCCTTCGGCCCCTTGCTGGCCCTTCGTCTATTGCATCTAATTCTCTCACTAGCCCTCCTCCTCTCCTTCTTATTGCTCTTCGCTCTCCCACTTCCAGCCGACCTTACCAGCTCGACGCGGAGAGAAACCCTAACCCTAGGTAAGATTTTCTATTCCGGCTGATTTGTGGTGTTTGCTACTTGCTGCTTCGGGTGCTTGATTGGTTGTTGGTAGGTGACTTAGCAGTTTCGAAGATGAAAGGTGGAAAATCCAAGGCCAACACATCGAAGAAGACGGATAGCAAGTACGTTTTCTCTTTTTCGTCTTTGTATTTGTTTGATGGGATAAATTGTTTTTTTTTTTTTTTTTTTTTTTTTTTTTTTTTTTTTTTTTGGGTTTGACTGTGGTTCTGTTGATCATTGCTAAAGGCTGGCTGTGAAGAAGGGCGTAGAGAAGAAACCGAAGGGAGGAGCGAAAGGGAAGGGCGGAAAGGATCCCAACAAGCCGAAGCGCCCGCCTAGCGCCTTCTTTGTCTTCATGTTTGGCTTTATTGATCCCTTTGAATTCATCGTTATCTGACCGTTAGTTGTTTTCCTTTGGTTGATTTGTTTTGTTTGGGTGAAATAGGGAGCAGTTCAGGAAGGAGTTCAAGGAGAAGAACCCTAACAACAAGCAGGTTTCTGTGGTATGTTCTATATTTATCTGTAGATTTATTCAGTTTTTAGATCTGTATACTTGGGAACTTTGTTGCATCATGATATGTAATAGGTTGGAAAAGCTGGAGGTGATAAGTGGAAATCGTTGTCTAATTCTGTAAGTGATTTTGTATATTTTGGTTATGGATCTGAATATATGTTGGGAAGTTGATGGTTCGTTTTTGCTAAAATTTTACAGGAGAAAGCTCCTTACGTTGCTAAGGCCGAAAAGCTGAAAGCGGAGTATCAGAAAAAGCTGAAGGCTTATGACGCTGGGGAGGTATTTTCGAATGATGCTAATTATTACAACAATATGTTGAATTTAAAACCAGTTTCTAAGTCTGTTTTATCGTTCCTCATCTTCTCAGGAGACAAAGAAAGATTTGGCTCATGAGGAGTCTTCCGATAAGTCAAAGTCCGAAGTTAGTGATGAAGAAGAAGGAAGTGAGGAGGTATTGATCAGTTCTATTCCTATCAACATGTGATTAATTATAATCTCTTCAAGAGATTAGATTTTTTTCACTTGGTTTAATTTTTGCAGGATGAAGATGAAGAGGATGATGATTGAACTAAAAGGTTTATAATCAATAACAAGAAATTGACGAGATGGTGGCAATCTTCGTCTGTTGGTAATCTTTTGGCACTCAAAAGTGGCCACTATCGATGCGTTGGTGCAGGGCTTCACATGAACACATGTTTCTTGTTTTACCTTATTTTCCCTTTTTCTTCCCCGTGAGCTAGGTCATAGTATATGATTCTCCGTTTGTTTTAAGAAGCTCTGCTTAATTCCTTGTATCTAACGTTAAACTCTCTTTTTGTTATTAGTAGAAGTGGTTTCCTTTTATTCTTGCTTCTTCTGCTAATCATCTTTTGGAATGTGGATTTGACCAATGTTAATTGTGCATGACGATAACTAGACTGCGTTGAATTCAGGCTTTGGAAAAACTCTTAATCATTACATGCATCAGTAATCAAATTATGAGCAATTTGTTCTGTCTTCCAGCTAACGATTCAAACGTTCTAGTTTTCTGTTCGTTTTCCTCAATTACGATCTAATGTTCGTAATTGTGTATTTGTATGAGCGAGGATTGAGCTGAAATTATGGTCTTTTAAAACACAAGTTGAAACGGCCTTGTGATGAAAATGCAAGTTTTTGGCTTGATGAATGAAATGTTGTCTGTTATTATAACCTGATATTCTTGTTATTATTGTCGTTTTTTGAGATGAAATTAAAATATTCTTAATTATTGTTTGTGATGCGGCCATTGAAGGAATTGATCGGGTTGACTTTTATTAGATTGGATGAGTGAAGTTTTATAGTTGACGTCAATCATTCATCATTGGGATGATTCCACGTGCTTTCAAGCATGTATGTGACATGAGGAAAATCGCAATGACCTGTAGATTTTGTTATTTCAACGGATGTTGACTTTGTTATTCAGTATTGTTTTTCTTTGAATTTTTGCCGATCGAGTCTGTTTATTCATTTTTTGAATGATTTATTCGGTCTGATTTATTTGTCTGTCTTCGCCTAGTTTGTAATATCAATGTTTCTAATTGCGGACCTATGATTTTGATTTGAAGTTTGAATGTTTTTTTTTTTTTTCATTCATTAAATGAATTTTGTAAATAAATTATATCTTTATATAAACAATTATTAGATGAATAATAAGAAATTATTTAATATATATTATTAACAATAATTAAGTTTATTTTCCGAAGTGTTTTATTGATCGCACATTTTATTTAGCTCTTAGTAAGTACATGTTGAAGTCCTTTTAATTATACATTTTTTTTTACACTAGTTGAATTTAATGCATTTGCTCTTTTATCTGGATTATCAAAGTGGTTGATGTTTAATGTGATGAAACCATCAAGAGACTCTAATCTTGTTTGTACTTGGTGCTAGGGAGTAATTATTAAGTGCAAATAATTATTTAATGTGAAGGGCATGTGAATTTTGTTATATTTTGGTTGTATTGATACAATGACTTTGAACAACAAACCCAAGATATTTAAATTGTTCACACCTTTTATTAATTTGATTGCCTAAAGTTACACTTATGTCACTTGAGCATCTACCACTAAAATTACATTCCATGTATTCAGTTTTAGTTCTACTTAAATGAAGGGCTTTAGACTCCAATATAAACCTTCATAATTCGAGTTTTTCTTGGGCTTCTTCTTTTGTCAACAAGAAGAATATTTAAAGATATAAATCTAAATTGATTATGAGAAATCTATGTAATACGTTTAAACTTATGTTTAATTATCCTCTCACATAGTTTTAAAGTATGACACATTAACTTAATTCTTTTATCATTTGCACACTTTTGTGCATCCCTTTATTCTAAAAAATGAGAACCAAAATACTCATTCCACTCTTTCGACATCTTTCTACTTTTTAAAATAATACGAGTTTAGTAAGTCAAGTAACTCCCAAATCTCCTAAACATTTCCATACTTCAATATGACTATTATCGGGACGCACAGACTTTTCACTCTTGGTTTTCTTTAAAGCTTCATCATAATTTCTTATATTTTATATTTTCTTGCATGTTATTATTCACAATAACTAGTGGTAGGTTAATAGAGACGGCTTGTAACCCTACTAATAGAGGTGAGCTTGAGCTTGTGGCTTAATAAGTGAAATAATTAATTTCACCTATTAATGATTTCAAATTGAAGGGCTATTTAAATTTATTTTATATGCTTTTTAATTATGTTGAGTTTATGCCGTCATTACAATGAGAAAATATAGAAAAGATAATTAGTGAAGAGTTGAATAAAGCGGCTTGGAGAAATAATGTATTTTTTTGAACTCAGTAATTTTTTACAAATAAACTAGAAAAAAATTAAATATGACCAAGTACCCTAAATACACATTTTATGAAAAAATATATAATGATTGAGCTTGATAATTTTATTTATTGAAATGTAAACGATAAGATTTTATGGCATGTAAAATGAATAATATTAAAATAAAAAATATAAAAAAACCATAATTTGTTCCTTATTTGTGTCCCTCATGACATTTAAATGCATGATTGATTAGCTTCAAAGTCATTGTGACTTCATTATTATCATTTGTTTATCTCATGTAATTTTAAAAACTTCTATATGCATACACACACACACATACATACACACATAGACATACATACATACATACATACACTATGCATGCAAGTTGAAAATTTATTCATTGTTTGATTGGCCACATCAACCAATGATGTTATCATTTGTTGATGTGGTCAGGAGTCATCTCCAACACTCAAGAAATCAAGTTCAAAGTTTCCTTCATGATTCATAAAAACACCTCCCCCATCCTCTCCAATTGAAATGATCTATTGGATTCACATGAAAAATTCTTTGTGTGTGTGTGTATATTCCATCTTGGACATATCTCCTTCCATTTTATGATGATTGGTAACTAAAATATTTGTTGACTCTTTCCATTTATTTAGAAGATTTTGATAGTGAAAAATCAAGTAATGTTGTTTATTCTTTTGTTAATACTTCCAAATCTTCTTTTCACCATGAGTTGTAACTTCGTTTCTCTTCCAACCTTTGGTGGTAAATTGATCATGTATCATAGGCATGAGATTGAGATGGTGTTGAAATAATTGACGAAAATGGGGCCCTATTGTTAGCTTTTTAAGCTAGCATGGACACCATATTCGCTTGCCCGAACAAATATGCCATGGCATACAGAGAAAAAATGCCTACTTATTAGAGAACATACATGACAGGCACTTATGAAACTTAACACATGCATTCAAGGTAATTTATCTAAAGGCTTTCAAGTGAAATGTCTTTAAATGTATATCAAATTTAAGCATCTTAGTAGCGCAACTAACTATCGTGTAATGATTAGATTGTTTAAGTAGACTTAAATAAAGAACATAAATTAAAGCATTTGAATTTTGATAAGTAATATATCATGCCTCCTCAAGTTATTTCAAGTCTTCTCTCACATTAAAGAATGGCATGCAGGATGCATAAAGTACACTTTATTGATATTAATAAGGAAAACCTATCATAATGAATTACATAGTGGCAATGACTTATGGGACGATGATACGTTCATATAATCTACCACCCTACTTCATACTAATTATGGGTAATCATCATTTCCACACGAACTTGTTTGCAAGACATGCTGGACGTTCAAATAGTGCTTGTGTAGAACAATTTCTAGGCAAAGAGTCATATAAGAATATGAAAAAAAGAATAATACTTGTATGGGTGTAAATGAGGTGAGTCTGAATGAGCTCAATACTTTTTCATGTTCGATACATTCAAAAAGTTTTGTTCAAAATAAACTGGTGTTTGAAATTGCTTGTAAATAGCATATTTGTGTTAGACTCAATTCAAATTTGTTTGTTTTTTTAGCTCATGGTTTACTTGAAATTAGCTCCAATGATTTAAGAATAAGTCATCTTTAACACTTTTTTAGCACAACATAAAAATCAATAGGAAATTATTATAATAATATTAATTATTTAATTATTTTAAGTCAAAATGAATTGACCACAATTTAATAAAGATTAGCTCGTGTTCGACTCATTTATAAATCGAGCTGAAAAAATTGTTTATGTTTTATTTACATAATGAACGAATTGAACACAAGCTACTTAATGCAGCGATTTCAAGTTGTTCGTGAACAAAGAGTGTTTTTGATAGCTCTATATATATGTTCTCTCTCTCCCTCTATGTTTTCTGTGATAAAAGTGTTATTTGCACTTAGGGTTGTTTGGGACAGCTTTCTACATGCTTTGCTTTTTAAACTGCCACCACAGTTCTGCTTGGGAGCTTTCTACATGCTTTGCTTTTTAAACTGCCACCAGCTTGATGTTTTTTTTAGAAATTTATGTGTTAGAAAGCTACTTTTCAAATGAAATGATAAAGGGCAGTGTCTTTCATAAAGTTGTGGTATGAATTTTTAAAAAATAAAATAAATTTATAATAGCCACTGTAACGTTTTGAAAAATAACTTTTACTGCAACATATTTATAGCTACTTATTCAAATAGGTGCAGCTGTCCCAAGCAGACCCTTCCTTCTGTGTTATTGACCTTACCATGTTCATTGTATGGCATCACCCTTGTGTTACTACATTATGTGTCCATTGAAATGAAGACGTCACTATAATGCCATTCAAATTGACATGGAGTAAAGTGCCAAAATAATCTCTGGCTATTTACACGGGGTTCATTTAGTCTCAATATTAATAGAAACGTCAAATAATCTCGAGACTCTTTAATTTGGGGCTGGAATAGTTAGTTCTAGAGGATTATTAAAGCTTAATTTTAAAATTGCCGGGTACTTATTTGACACTTCTATAAAACTCTGGTACTAAAAACACACAATGGCAGTACTCAAGGACTATTTTAACACTTTACTCATTTGACATGCAGTGAGTTCAATTCAATTCGATACACATACATTCTAAATATCCTTTTTTTTCCCCTTCTTTCAATGATTCTTATCTCAAAGTCATATCTTTACCTTAGTTCAAAGATCTATCCCATTTACAATTATGCTCTAAATTTAGATGTCAACATAAAAAAGTTATGGATGTAAGAAGCATGCTAAAATTTGTTAAAATTTGTTAGATAAACTTAAGGTACTAAAAACACACAATGGCAGTACTCAAGGACTATTTTAACACTTTACTCATTTGACATGCAGTGAGTTCAATTCAATTCGATACACATACATTCTAAATATTTGCAACTAAACATTCTTTTTTTCCCTTCTTTCAATGATTCTTATCTCAAAGTCATATATTTATCTTAGCTCAAAGATCTATCCCATTTACAATTATGTTCTAAATTTAGATGTCAACATAAAAAATTTATGGATGTAAGAAGCATGCTAAAATTTGTTAGATAAACTTAATAGAAAAGATAATTAGTGAAGAGTTGAATAAAGCGGCATGGAGAAATAATGTATTTTTTTGAACTCGGTAATTTTTACAAATAGACTAGAAAAAAATTAAATATGACTAAGGTCTACCAAGTACCTTAAATAAACATTTTATGAAAAAATATATAATGATTGAGCTTGATAATTTTATTTATTGAAATGTAAACGATAAGATTTTATGGCATGTAAAATGAATAATATTAAAATAAAAAATATAAAAAAACCATAATTTGTTCCTTATTTGTGTCCCTCATGACATTTAAATGCATGATTGATTAGCTTCAAAGTCATTGTGACTTCATTATTATCATTTGTTTATCTCATGTAATTTTAAAAACTTCTATATGCATACACACACACACATACATACACACATAGACATACATACATACATACATACACTATGCATGCAAGTTGAAAATTTATTCATTGTTTGATTGGCCACATCAACCAATGATGTTATCATTTGTTGATGTGGTCAGGAGTCATCTCCAACACTCAAGAAATCAAGTTCAAAGTTTCCTTCATGATTCATAAAAACACCTCCCCCATCCTCTCCAATTGAAATGATCTATTGGATTCACATGAAAAATTCTTTTGATGTGGTCAGGAGTCATCTCCAACACTCAAGAATTCAAGTTCAAAGTTTCCTTCATGATTCATAAGAACACCTCCCCCATCCTCTCCAATTGAAATGATTTATTGGATTCACATGAAAAATTCTATGTGTGTGTGTGTATATTCCATCTTGGACATATCTCCTTCCATTTTATGATGATTGGTAACTAAAATATTTGTTGACTCTTTCCATTTATTTAGAAGATTTTGATAGTGAAAAATCAAGTAATGTTGTTTATTCTTTTGTTAATACTTCCAAATCTTCTTTTCACCATGAGTTGTAACTTCGTTTCTCTTCCAACCTTTGGTGGTAAATTGATCATGTATCATAGGCATGAGATTGAGATGGTGTTGAAATAATTGACGAAAATGGGGCCCTATTGTTAGCTTTTTAAGCTTGCATGGACAACATATTCGCTTGCCCTAACAAATATGCCATGGCATACAGAGAAAAAATGCCTACTTATTAGAGAACATACATGACAGGCACTTATGAAACTTAACACATGCATTCAAGGTAATTTATCTAAAGGCTTTCAAGTGAAATGTCTTTAAAAGTATATCAAATTTAAGCATCTTAGTAGCACAACTAACTATCGTGTAATGATTAGATTGTTTAAGTAGACTTAAATAAAGAACATAAATTAAAGCATTTGAATTTTGATAAGTAATATATCATGCCTCCTCAAGTTATTTCAAGTCTTCTCTCACATTAAAGAATGGCATGCATGATGCATAAAGTACACTTTATTGATATTAACAAGGAAAACCTATCATAATTAATTACATAGTGGCAATGACTTATGGGACCTTTCAAGTCTTCTCTCACATTAAAGAATGGCATGCAGGATGCATAAAGTACACTTTATTGATATTAATAAGGAAAACCTATCATAATGAATTACATAGTGGCAATGACTTATGGGACGATGATACGTTCATATAATCTACCACCCTACTTCATACTAATTATGGGTAATCATCATTTCCACACGAACTTGTTTGCAAGACATGCTGGACGTTCAAATAGTGCTTGTGTAGAACAATTTCTAGGCAAAGAGTCATATAAGAATATGAAAAAAAGAATAATACTTGTATGGGTGTAAATGAGGTGAGTCTGAATGAGCTCAATACTTTTTCATGTTCGATACATTCAAAAAGTTTTGTTCAAAATAAACTGGTGTTTGAAATTGCTTGTAAATAGCATATTTGTGTTAGACTCAATTCAAATTTGTTTGTTTTTTTAGCTCATGGTTTACTTGAAAGTAGCTCCAATGATTTAAGAATAAGTCATCTTTAACACTTTTTTAGCACAACATAAAAATCAATAGGAAATTATTATAATAATATTAATTATTTAATTATTTTAAGTCAAAATGAATTGACCACAATTTAATAAAGATTAGCTCGTGTTCGACTCATTTATAAATCGAGCTGAAAAAATTGTTTATGTTTTATTTACATAATGAACGAATTGAACACAAGCTACTTAATGCAGCGATTTCAAGTTGTTCGTGAACAAAGAGTGTTTTTGATAGCTCTATATATATGTTCTCTCTCTCCCTCTATGTTTTCTGTGATAAAAGTGTTATTTGCACTTAGGGTTGTTTGGGACAGCTTTCTACATGCTTTGCTTTTTAAACTGCCACCACAGTTCTGCTTGGGGTTTTTTTTAGAAATTTATGTGTTAGAAAGCTACTTTTCAAATGAAATGATAAAGGTCAGTGTCTTTCATAAAGTTGTGGTATGAATTTTTAAAAAATAAAATAAATTTATAATAGCCACTGTAACGTTTTGAAAAATAACTTTTACTGCAACATATTTATAGCTACTTATTCAAATAGGTGCAGCTGTCCCAAACAGACCCTTCCTTTTGTGTTATTGAACTTACCATGTTCATTGTATGGCATCACCCTTGTGTTACTACATTATGTGTCCATTGAAATGAAGACGTCACTATAATGCCATTCAAATTGACATGGAGTAAAGAGCCAAAATAATCTCTGGCTATTTACACGGGGTTCATTTAGTCTCAATATTAATAGAAACGTCAAATAATCTCGAGACTCTTTAATTTGGGGCTGGAATAGTTAGTTCTAGAGGATTATTAAAGCTTAATTTTAAAATTGCCGGGTACTTATTTGACACTTCTATAAAACTCTGGTACTAAAAACACACAATGGCAGTACTCAAGGACTATTTTAACACTTTACTCATTTGACATGCAGTGAGTTCAATTCAATTCGATACACATACATTCTAAATATTTGCAACTAAACATTCTTTTTTTCCCTTCTTTCAATGATTCTTATCTCAAAGTCATATATTTATCTTAGCTCAAAGATCTATCCCATTTACAATTATGTTCTAAATTTAGATGTCAACATAAAAAATTTATGGATGTAAGAAGCATGCTAAAATTTGTTAGATAAACTTAATTTTTTTTTTATATTTGAACCAGTCATGTAATTTTTCATATTAATATATATAATTACGATTAAAAAATAGGAAAATAAATGTTAAAAAATCATCAATTTATTTCAAGGCAAATGAAATCTATGAATAATTAAATATATTTTTTAATTTCTTAAAAATTAAATCTAATAAATTTATATCTTGAGAGAGAGAGAGAGCGAGAGAGGGAGATTTCATGGATACATTCTCCTCCCCCTTCATCTTCTTCGATGGCGGCAAGGTGGCGCAGAGTCCATCTTCTGCTAAAAGCAGAGACTCCGAGGCGGCAAAAAAACAATGTGAGAAGCTTTCTCTCTCCTCTCCGGAAAATAGTTTTCAAAAGCTTTTACTCTCCAGCTCTCTCTCTCCTCCTCCTCACCGCCCTTCTTATTTTAGCAATTTCTGTTAACCGAACTTTCCCAATTCCGGCCCTATTCTTCCATCTTCTCTTCTAAAAATATATAATCCATCGCATATTCGTCCAATTTTCTACGATTTTGCATCTTTCGAGGACACATAATTTTGCCTTTCCGATTCTTTTCCATTAAATTTATCATGCTTTCTTGTGGCTGTTGGTCGTTTTCCCCCTTCCCAATGGTGCGAGGGGGAATTCGGAACAATTTACAGTGAAATCTATTGTTCAATTAGGGTTACATCGAAGAAAATGAGTTGCTTCTCTTGTGTAAGCTCCCGCCACAGGGAGCTTAGAAAGCGGATGGGTTCCAGGATTGCGAGCTCTGCACTTGCTCGTTCATCATCCTTATCTCACATTGTTGATAAATTGGGTAAAAACAAAATTGAGTGAGGAAATGGTTAATTTGTGCGAATTTCTTTTCGAATATTTGAGCTTGGTTTGGGTTGGTTTGTTGTTGCAGAGAATGAAGCGAATCGTTTATCCCCAAAAGGGGAGAAATCAAATGGTGCCCGCAGTTTTACCTTGGAACAACTTGCAGCAGCTACAAAGAACTTTAGGGAGACCAATCTGATTGGAGAAGGTGGCTTTGGGAGGGTTTTTAAGGGGGTTCTTGAGAATAACGAGGCAATTTTTCACCATTTTGTCTATTGTTTTCATTGAAATTGCATGGTTAATATATGGGGTTTTATTCTTAATGGATTGTTTCTGCTGTTTTTTGAACTTTTGATTAATAGGTTGTGGCAATCAAGCAGCTTAATCGAGATGGGCTTCAGGGGAGCAATGAGTTTCTTGTGGAGGTTCTGATGTTAACAATGCTGCATCATCCCAATCTTGTCAGCTTAATCGGCTACTGTGCAGAGGGATGTGAGAGGCTCTTGGTTTATGAGTACATGTCTCATGGAAGCTTGGATGATCACTTGTTCTGTAAGCATTTTTTATTGCTTTTATTTTGCTAATTTTTGTTAAATCATCATTTTGCATAATTTAATACCACCATAGATTAACATTATAAGTCATTGAAATTAATATGTTTCCTGCATGAGGTAGAATTACATTAGCTGCTTTTTTATATGAATCTGATAAGAGTTTTGATTTTCTTCACTTGTTAAGCATTTTTCATGTGTAGTTCTTATGTCTGCATTATGAGTAGCTAAAAAAGAAAATGGAAATAAATAAGGGGAATTCACATACATACCACACAAGTTTCAGGTATTTACCTATCGGACACCTAAACATTCATATTTTCATGCATACCGCTCAAATTTTAACATCAAATCAAAGTTACCACCATCACTATCTTTGTAAAAATGAAATACATCTCTCATGCATAGGTTTATGACACTAAGTTACTATAAGTGTAAATATCATACTTTCGGTGTTAGATATGTATATACAAAAGAAGTTTGTGGTGTATATGCAAATTTCCAAAAAAAAAAAAAAAAAAAATTAGGGTGGATGGCTAACCTCTTGTGCAGGTTCTTAAAGATGCACTAATTGAATTTGTGGCAGAAGCGCAACTTAACTGTTAAAACCTATAGCATTTGGTTTCTACTCAAATGTGGGTATTAGGCATTTATTCCTTATTTTACATTTGAAACAACTCCTAAATCATATACATGTATGAAGTATTTTTAATAAATTAGGTATGAAGCTAAAAGTATAAATAAAATATTGGTGAGCTTAAGTAAAATCTATAGGTTTTGATGCGGTACATATATGTCCTAAGGAAGCAAATAATACTATCTTAGTAACTTTATTTATAAATTTTTGTTCTTTTACCAATGATTTAGACAAAGCTAGAGCATCTTGTAGAGAACTTTATTTTACAAACCTGAAGTTTGTGGTCTAACTATGCAATTATTTATATATTTGTAGATTTAAAAAAAAAAATATGGTAAATACGCATCAAAATGATTAAAAAAGTCGGCTAAATTTATTGTTAGAGTCCATTTGTATGAATTGTAATTAACAAGATAACTCTTTATATTATTTTTGAAGACATTGTTTCTTCACGGCTTCTCATATATGATAATGTGATATCGAGAAAAATAGTGATAATGTTATAAGCATTCTTATGTCACAGTTGTGAAGTTTGTCCTTTTGTGGCATTTTATGGGAGTACATGAAAATATAAAATATCAAACAAAATTGGGGGATTTATATACATACCATAAATTTTTTTAATGTATTTACATATCTTCACTTGAACTCTGACATTCATTCATATTCCACTATAGTAGCTAGATAACCTCAAAATATATGTAGGAAAAGGCATGCATGTTATACTTTAAATAGTTTAATACTAGTGAAATTTTTTATGTGCTTTAAAGATTTGAATGTTATTTAAGTGTATAAATGTTTAGATGTAAGGTATGTAAATATATAAGAATTTTATGTTATTTATGTTTGATGTGATCAATACATTTGGATTTAATATTAAAATAGGATATAAGAGGTTGATAGGATGGCCATATTTAAAAGTTTCTATAAACTTATGCTATAAGTTTCACATACTTTCACTAATGCGGACTAATGGATCTTAAAACATGCTTAAAATGCTCATGATCAATGAAAAAAAAATACTTAATGTGTTCTTATTTCTTGAAAATGCATACTCAAAACTATCTTGCATGCAATAAACATAGTTTCTTTTGATTTCAATTATCATTATTATTGATTTTTTAAACAAAAGTTTATGGCACCATATATATGCTTTTAAACATAGAAGGATAAATTAAGGGATGATTATATTATAAATCTAGTTAGATCTAATATCAATTGAAGAGAGAGGATAATGAAAAATAGATTTTTGAGTGGTTTGAATATGTATAATGTAAGATATTAAGTGCCCATCAAATGAATAAATAAACTTAAACGAGTAAATTAAATAGTCTTAGATGGATTGAGGATGAAATAATATGGAATAAAAGGTAAAATGCATAGAAATTTTTCAAAAAGATTTCTAAAGAATATATATGACACCTCTTGTAGCTCTCAACAGAAATGAATGGAAACTGGGGATTCGTAGAGCCGACCACAAACAATTAGAATAAACTTAATGATAATTGTAATATCATGAAGTTATTTTAATTAACACTGTTATTTGCAACCAATATCTTCTCATCATTTTTGCAAATTGTCATTTTCATTTGTGATTGCTCTCTTTCTTTTTCACCATTCGTTGAAAGAGTTACATCAACTAGATCTCCTTTGATAGCCATTTAGCCAAGCTTCGTTGATAAAATGAAGTTTTGCATACAAACCACACAATTTCTATGTATTTACGTATCTAACACCTAAATTTCAATTTTTACATACATACCACCTTGTGCATGAAAAGGTGTATTCCACTTTTTAAAAGTTAAAAATGTGTTATTTTTGATGTACAAAATTGCCCTTTTACCTTAGTTCATTAATTGGGGGTCAAAATAACAGATATTAAATACATAGGAATTAGTTGGTATGTATGTAAATGCCCCTCAACAAAAAGGCAGATCTAACTGCCAAGATAATCCCTACTCTATGTAACAAATATACTTACTCGACAAAACAAATTTGCATTAACTGTATTACCTTTGTATCATGTCTTACACAAATCTTGAGCTCGATTGGCCTTTGCTTCTTCTTCTTCCTCACAACGAGTAACTCTTTTTACTGTCTTATTTTATAGTTCTAGATAAAAATGTCAAAATGGTCCCTAAACTCTTTGCAAAGGTTATTTTAGTCACAGAGTTTATAAAAGGGTCATTTACGTACATAGCACAAAATTCTTACATATCTCACACCAAAACTTTCATATTTACACACACAGCAAGCACTCAATACTTAACATAAAAAAAATAACATGATTAATCTTTTTAAAAGTCAAATACAACTTTTCATGCATAGGTTTAAAGCACCAAAATGTCATGTTTGTAAATATAGAAGTTTAGGTGTGAGATATGTAAATACATAAGAATTGTGTGTAACATATGTAAATTTGTCTTTATAACATTGTTAATTTAGTACTTAAATTTTTTAATATGAGTTAAAATAATCCTAAGTGAGAACTAATTCAACAATTTTATAAACTCCGGGATTAAAATTACCCGATGTAAACAGTCAGACGATTATTTTGGCACTTTACTCAATAGTTTTACTCCTTAAAATTCACCACAAATGCTATACTAATGTCATCCTTGATTCACATGAAGGTTGATACTAAGATTTTTGTATGTCAGATTTATCTCCAGGACAAGAACCGCTGGACTGGAACAAAAGGATAAAGATTGCTTTGGGCTCAGCCATGGGGCTTGCATATCTACATGATGCAGCCGATCCGCCTGTTATTTACCGCGATCTAAAATCTGCAAACATATTGTTGGATGAGGATTTCAACCCAAAGCTTTCTGATTTTGGACTCGCTAAGCTTGCACCAGTGGGTGATAAGACCCATGTTTCGACAAGGGTCATGGGAACTTATGGCTACTGTGCTCCTGACTACGCCATGAGCGGCAAGCTGACGGTGAAGTCGGATGTATATAGTATCGGTGTCGTACTTTTGGAGCTGCTTAGGGGGCAGAAAGCATACGACTTAACTCGGAAATCAGGGGAGGAGAATTTGATCACATTGGTTGGTATCTTACATTCGTTCCATCAGTCTTTTTTATATAGAGAGAGCTGTCAGAAGAGTTTATTATTCGTGTTTAATTCGTTCGTAAAGCCAAATCAAATATGAACATATGTTTTGAGCTTGATTTTTAAGTGGGCTGAACACGAATAGATTTTTGTTTGATTGTGTTTGGCTCACTATTGGTTCAACTGTGAACTGCCCACTCTTGAGCAGATCCTACATGGCTTAAGATTGGTTCAAAATAGTTTGATTTGATCTTGATCCGAAGCATCGACTCACAATAGCTTGATTTGATCTTGATCCAAGCCACACATTGCTATAGGCTTGCTTAAATTTGATCTTGATTAGAGTCATGCTAGACTTAACTATTGCAATATGAACCAAAAGTAGGTTTGATTTGGATCCATGATCTTTTAAGCTGTATTCGTAGTCCACCCTACAACATGTGGCCATACATTTGTAGTAACATTAGTAGTTGATATTTACAGTAGTGAAGAACAAAAAAAAAATGATGCCTGCATGCATGCACTCACATTTTTGGTTCTTCCTTGATGTCATATCTGAGTGCACAAAATGAAAAGCATTTCCTCTATTCTACACTAAGGTCTCTTTGGGGCTGCCACAGTTTCAAAAAATCCGACAACAGATTTCTTACCATTGCCATTTGGTCTGAAATACAACACAAATAGAAAGTTGTCCCAAATAAAACTCTTAACCGATTCGTTCTTTTGTTTCAGTCCCGCCCTTTTCTCAACGATCGAAGAAGATTCACTCATCTAGCAGATCCATTGCTTAAAGGCCGGTTCCCCATTCGCCCTTTCTACCAGCTCGCCGTGGTCATCTCTCTATGCCTCCATGAGAAGCCACAGATTCGTCCGGCAGCTCGAGATGTTGCCTATGCTCTCAAACACATAGCTTCTCAGCCCTACGATGATTCACAGAATGGATGCAATATTTCAGCGCCTTCCTCACCAATGGTAAACCCCAAGCTGACTCTGGTTGAAGAAGAGGATGATAGGAGTGAAGGCCATTCTGATTTATAGCCATTCTTGTGCTGATTCAGTTTTGTTCTAAGAAGTGTGTTCTAAATTGTTGGGGGGGG